TTTTTTTTTTTTTTCATATGTGGCTTATGCATTATATTGCGTTTACTTTCTCTTTAAGTCTACTTTAATGATTTAGAAACTCCTTTCTACGATTAAGGAGATCATTGCGGTGTGATTATATTTGGATTTTCAACAGGTTAAACTTTCAATATCCGGGCGTGATTTCAATTTAATTCTTATTGCCAGAAGATCTCGTCATTATGCTGGTACCAGGTATAGAAAATGAATTCTTTCTCTATTTGCTGCTACAGATTGATACTAAGATAATGACTTACAGACAAATTTATTTCTCTGTGCTTCATTTGATTTGTCTACCTCAGCCCAACTTTTTTCGGGTGCTTAATTTAAATTTTCTTTTCCCACAGTCCAATTATATGTGTTGGTCATCATTCCTTTTTCTTATGGCGCACTATACGAACAATAAACATCATTAGTTGTATTCCACAGTGTGCAAAAATTTGGATTATCAAGTTTATATTCACGGATAAGAGCTATTGGACTTGAAGACCCATACTACTCTTCTTTATATCAAGCTGTTTGATTCTCACTTTTGTGTCCCAGATACATGAAACGGGGGGTGAATGAGAAGGGCCGTGTAGCAAATGATGTCGAGACTGAGCAAATTGTTCTTGAGGATGTCGTGGAAGGAAATCCCTTGAAAATATCTTCAGTCGTCCAGAACCGGGGTTCAATTCCTCTCTTTTGGTCACAGGAGACTTCGAAATTGAATATTAAACCTGACATCATACGTAAGACATGTGTCAAATAATAAGTTTATGTTCTAACAGCTCCCTCTTTCGCTTACTCTATTTCTTTGCCCAGTATCAAAGAAGGACGAGAAGTATGAAGCCACCAAACTTCACTTCGACAATCTAGTCAAGAGATATGGGAATCCTATTATCATATTAAATTTGATCAAGGTATACTTTTGTGTTGATTGATGGGCTGACATCACCAACTTGTCATATTCTTCCTCAACATTACATTCTCATGGATATTTACTGGCTCCATTTCTCCTATTTAATCCACCCCTTGTTCTTGATTGGCAGACTCGCGAGAAGAAGCCAAGAGAATCAATTCTCCGTGCAGAGTTTGCAAATGCTATCGAAGTTATTAATAAAGATCTTGCACATGAAAACCGCTTGATGTTCCTTCACTGGGATTTGAGTAAATACTCCAGAAAGTATGGCTGTCACTTTTCTGCTGTTTTTGTTTTGCCTACGTTTCACTTTTGAACTTGATGATTCAACTTCTCCTGTATATGTTACAGCAAGGCAGCGAGTGTGTTGGCGTATTTAGTCAAAGTAGCAACCAATGCATTGGATTTGACTGGCTTCTTTTATTGTCAAGTACTCCCATCTTCAAGGTAAGGAATATGGAAAAGCTGTGATTATATGACTGTACAAAAATATGCGGCTCGTTTCTTAGTATTAGTATTATTTTATATTTTTGGTCAACCTTCGTAAAAGCATTGGTTTATAGAACAAGAATTGAGTATTTTCCACCATACTTCATGGTTGTCGAGTTAGGCTACTGATTTGATGGTTTGAAGGTTTCCGGCAACTGTTTTGGCTTCTTGGAATTTTATATGATATGTGCAAAAATTATAATCTATGTTACTGAAATTGTCTCGTAGAGCATCAAAGTTAAGTAGAGTTCCGTACCGTCCATTTCTGCAGACATTTGGTGCATTATCATTCTTTTCTGTAACCAACTTTAGTTTGGTAGTTGTTCGTCCCAGACTGTTAGTACACTTCTGGAGCTTTATATATAAAGAGTGGTATCAATGGAATAATTATTTTTGGATCAGACACGCTATTTTCTAGAGCTTAGATGTAATCAGGGAAAATAAAATGCGTTGTTTACCTGTCTAGTTAATTACCTTGGCCACCTGTCTACTCTTTTACAGCCAACTCCCTTGCAGCAACAACTGCTATGGTGTTTGTTCTGATGAGGACCATTCCAATGCGATTGAGGATATTTGTGTCCCGACTTCTAAAGATAGTGTCAATGATGAGGTTGGAAGTCATTTTGTCAAGCCTCCTGTGTTTCAGAAAGGGGTTCTGAGGACGAATTGCATTGACTGCTTGGATCGCACAAATGTGGCACAATACGTCTATGGGCTGGTTGCTCTTGGCCATCAGTTGCATGCATTTGGATATATTGTTGTTCCAAACATAAGCTTAGACTCTGCTTTGGCTGATGATCTAATGAAGATATATGAAGCTATGGGTGACACACTTGCTCTACAGTATGGTGGGTCTGCGGCCCATAACAAGGTACCCTTAGTCAAATTTTCGCAAAGTGAAAATGGATGTGTTGATCTTAAAAGGATTTTTTCGTTCTTTCCGTAATGTCAGAATTTTAACGATACCATTATACCAGATGACAAAGACGAATATGCAATGTAGTTAATATCGATCTCTGTTACGTCCACATCTTCTCATCGATGGAAAAAACTACAATTACACTTGTCTTACGCTTCAGTATAAATCTCGCTCTTATTTGATTTGTGCTTCCTGTTATGGTTTTCAGTATACTCTTTCTAGCTCATTTGTGTATGTTGAACAGATCTTTTCAGAGAGAAGGGGTCAGTGGAAAGCAGCAACACAGTCTCAGGAGTTATTTAGAACTCTTCAACGTTACTATAGCAATGCCTACATGGATGCTGAGAAGCAGGACGCCATTAACATGTAAGCCAATCGGACCTCTTACAGTTTTATAAAAATATCTTTCACTGGATTACATTGGGTCTAATGTTATTGTTGTGTTTTTTCTTCTTTTTTCTGTTTGCCATAATAATATGGTTCATTATCCACGAGCAGATTCCTCGGGCATTTCCAACCACAACAGGGTAAGCCTGCTCTGTGGGAGCTGGATTCTGATCAGCATTATGATGTTCGGAGGCGTGGTTCTGATTTTGCAGAAGAAAGTGCAAGGTAACAACGAAATCTGCACAAACAATTTGATTGGTTGTTCGAGTTCTGGTGGACTACATGTATAATAGAAGATCGAGTGAGCTGCCAAAAATCAGATAGGATAATAGATTATAACTCATCATGTTAGAAATATTTAATATCATCCAGAAATATTGATGGGATCTATTCAAGGAGAGGACCATGAGAAAAATTATGTATGAAATGCTTGCTTAGTGAAAGGTACTCCGAGGCTTATTTCTGTAACATCTGGTAAGGTCCTTTGGAAACACCATTAATATTGTGTGATTTTGTTGCATTGATGGTTGGAGGTGGAAATCTGTATTTGCAGGTCATTTATTAAAAGATCATTATCTGATGGCAATATTCTTTCTGAAGACAACTCCCCTATTGTCAATGCAAAGGTTATACAGATGGACAGTTCTCATAGAACAGTGCCTATAAATGCTAAAGGCTGTAATGTGGGGCTTTTGGATTCAACTCCAGAATTTTCAACTTGTGAAAGTGATATATCTTATTCCAGGTAAGGTTTAGTACCTTAGATTTAAAATAGCTGAAATTTCTAGAAAGACTACTTCCCGTGTTAGGATAAGTTGGATACCTGATGAACAATGAAAATTTACTACACAGTAAGGATGCATTTTTTTATAGTCATAATTTTCCTTTGCGAGGTGTCACAAATTTTTTAGATCATGCCAATGCTTCTCTAATGTGGAATGATTGTATCGAGTGATTGCATTTTCGTAGTTTAGCTGTACTTGAAAAATTATGAGGCGTGCAGGAAAATGTATCAAGTATTCGGCTTTCTACTGGATCACAACTTTATTCCTTTCACGCTTGTTCAATTGTTCACTTCTAGGAAAAGCGTATTAGCGATGTTGTGCTGTCTTTACTGGGCTTTACATCGATAGTTTTAATTGTACGATTTTTCTCTCATATTATTTTTTTTATATATATATTTTTTTGTAGGTATACACCCTCAATGTCCCGTAAACGGCTTTTCCCTGATTCACAATCAGAGAGGTATCTGGACAACGACTGCACATATTACGTTGAACGTGGGGATTCATTCAACTGTTCAAATTTTCTTGATGTTGATTGGCTTTCTTCATCTGGAAACTCTTGTGAAGATGAAGCATACGAGAGGTAAATATTTTGGCTTGTAACGCATGCTCCCTTACATGTATCTTTACCATGATAATATTATAAAGCATTCCTTTTAATCATGCCACTCGGTTTTTCAATTTAAAAACGTTTATACCTACTGCTACATAAGACCCTATTTGTCGGACTTTAACCGAGCGATTTGTGGTGTGGAAGTGTGGAACTGTGCCAGCTATTAGAAAGGACTCGTGACCCGGGGTTTGATTGCTTTATCCTTTTACGTGGTTTTAGATCATTGCTCGTTGGATCTTCATCTGCTGGCGGCATATCGTTGGGAGAGCTAAAAACGGGAATGAACTCATCTTATCAGTCTGGATCCAGCTTGAAGGTAGCACGTTTAATTTCGTCCAAAGAGTCAACGACTTACCTAAAGCACAGATTACAGTGATAAAGAGTTTAGGGAGTCATGATTAGCACTAAATTAAATTGATTCCCATTTTTTGTTGCTTGGAAGTAACTCTTCATTTTCCCATTTCTTTATTTCCTTCTCTTTTTCTTTTTCCAAATCGAAAAATTTGTGTGGGGTGCTTCTGCTTTTGAAGAAGTTCTGATTTTTGCTCAACTGATAGAACTTTTGTTTAAATTCTGTTATAATCCAACAATGTCATTCTTCTTGATACTTAATCCTTAATCGTCTTTATTTTTTTCTTTTACAATAATTTTTCCAGGGGAAGGAGCTGGCCAGTGGTGACCTCAGATGTGATGCTGCCAGTAGCTCGAACGAACTTTCAGGCTTTTCCGAAAGATTCATACACTGGGTCAATGGAGATATGCTTTTCCTGTGATGTTTACTTCAAATCGTGCTCGTGCCAATTTCTGACCGATAAAGTCCATCTTTAGGGTCGTTCGATGATTGACCTTAACGATACTCGAGAAGGAAAATGGTCGAGAATTTTCCCTAACAGAGGATAGACATTCGTCAAATGAAGAAGCTTTTTTGTTTTTCCTCCCCTCAAATTGTACATTAGCAGAAGTAAATTTCAAACCTTAGTTGTGATTCTTAGAAATCATAGAGGACTTAGACTTAGTTGTTACACTCTTGGTCTTATTTGTCCCTTGTTCAAGCTAACAACTTAAATACATTTTTTAATTTTGTAAATATTCCATTAGGTGATTCTTTACTCAAATGTAATATAATTATAAAGATAATAGTTCTTGAAGATCATTCCTTTTTTTTT